CATGCTCTCTGTCTCTCATTCTCTCTCTCACAAATAAATAAAATCTTAAAAAAAAAAAAATTAAAAAAAAATCTCCGTAATTGCTAAAAATAATAATAGGAATAATAATAATAAATGGGCAATGCCTAGAGGGGTAGGCAAGAGAAAAAGCTCAAAATAGCTACTTGAAACAATAAAGGCAGGAGAGCTAAATACTCATATCCACAGAGGTGCAAGGAACATTCTCCCCCACTTGCAAACACACACAAGCATGTCTACCCACCCAGCACACACATGCTCACCCGGTCTGCTGCGTCTGCTGCACATGGTTGCCGTGCATAAGATCTGGGGATGTTCAGACTCAGTCTACTAATTCATTCATTCATTTACTCAATGCAAATGTACTGTCCTGCAAGCATGATACACCTACACGAGAGTGGCTCCAGCATTTCTAGCTTGGTAGGATTCAGGTGCATGAATCAATCTTGCCGGGAGGTTGTGTGCTTGCGGTAAACACATCACTTTCTACATAGCTTGTGTGTGTGTTTAGGGGAGCTGGGGCTGCAGATGTAGATTGGGGGGTGCTGCCACTGTGGATAGAGGTGCTACAGATTTAGGAGTGACAGCTTGTCTTCCCGGGCCCAGGACTGCCTCCTGGGGGGCCTGCCCTCCCACATTTCCTGATTCCAACCTTCCCAGGCCCTGCATTCTGCTCGGGAGCCAGCACCCCGGGAGATGGCCCTACCTTCCACGAAGAAGATGCAGAAGCAGAGGAGCAAGATGCAGAGCAGCCTGGAGACGACTAGAAACCTCATGGTGGGGTGGCCGAAACCTCACGTCGTGGGGAGACAGCTGTGCCGCAAAGGTCCTCCTAACGCCACCTCAGATGTTTATAGGGTGATACAGTAAGGTGTTTCCCAATGGGCAGGGCACCAGCAGCCTTGGAATTCTCATAAAGGGTAGAGTCAGCCGCTCCCAAGAGGAAAAAACCAGGTTTTCGAGAAGGTGAGAGTATTTAGTGAACTGTAGCACACAGAGCTATAAATGCCCAGCCCTGGGAACTCCCGGCGCTAGCCTCGGTGGTCAGAGCAGGAAACTCCCATCAGGGAAGGGCCACTTCCCGGTGTTGAACGTTAACTTTTAGTGTCAGTAATCATGCCACCAAACAGATCTTCCTGTGCATTCCTAAGATGGGGCAGGGAGGGCCATAAAACCCTTCGAAAAGCCTCAGGGAAGAGTCTCAAGCAATCCATGAAATGTAGGGAGCAGAGAGCCTGGAATCAGATGACCTGGGTTTGAGCTCTTGCTTTGCCATCTAATGGCAGTGTGACCTTGCACTTGCCATTAAATGTCTCTGAGTCTGCTTCCCATCTGTGAGATGGACACAAGCCTGAATGAGCACACATGTGTGAGGGGCCATGGGTGACACGGTGGATACTGATAGAGCTGTGAAGGAGGTGGGGCTGCAGCTGGACCTTGACAGATGTTTAGGATGAAATGAAAAGGCGCTTCAGGTATAGGATCAGCCTGAGCAAGTATATGGAGGAAGGAAACATTTTACAAGGGCAGGCATAGGGCAGAGTCCACCATCGTCACCTACTCGCTGGACATATTCTGTGGGCTAGGTCGTGCACAGGGGAGGCAGAAGGCACTGTGCCTGGCCCCAGGGAGCCTCTGTTGGTGGAGGCAGCCGTGCAGATACACAGAATTTGTGTTTGCCCTTGTGGTATCATGTCCATCTGTCCTGTGCCCTAATGAGTGTGCCCTTCTAACCAACCAACTGGCTATCTGGTTTCCAGTTTCCAAGGGCACATGGGAAGATGCCAGTATCTGGTTCCACTGCCCGGGGTCTTGCTGGTTCCTGGCAGCCAATGCAGACATTCCCTGCTGCCCGAGACTGGCCAATGGGGCGCTTCACTGGCCCTCCTCTCTGGCCAGAGATTAGAGACACAATTTAAACCACATGCTCAGATAGCTTGGTGAGCAAATCGGTAGTTGGGGATGTTTTCTGAAAGTCAGCTTTTATGCATTTACAAAAACTGTAAAGCACTCCACCCAAAGAAACAGGTTGGGCCACTGGCCTTAAGGACCATATGTCATGTCATGTGAGTCACCTGCCCAGCCCCTGCCTGATTCCCTTTCTAAGGGGTGTTCTGAGCAGGCAGTGGCCGTGCCAGACGGTGTGGTTGGGAAGACCCTGGGGGGCCGACCAGGGACAACTCAGGGGCTGGAGCCTAGGAGAGACTTCTGAGCAGCCAGTGTGGGAAAGAGGGCTGGGAAGAGGGTGGGACTGGTCCTGAGGCTGCACTTGCCAGCCAGCACCCTGTTCTTACTTAGATTGCACGTTACAGGTCCATAAACTCCACACAGTTTCCTAAAGATGTTTCCTGAAATTGGAACTGCATCTGTGGTCCACATCAAATACTATTACCACTACTTTATTTCTTTTTATGTGAGGTCATTTGGGGTGCCACCATCAAGTTCTCTGCACAACAGCATACCTTTGGCTACCACCCACCCATTACCTGTTGTTGTAACAGGTAATTTTTGCTCTTGGCAAACTATTAGCAGAGGAGAAAAGAGCAACCTCCTGCCCAAGGCGGCAGGGATTCAGCCAAATCTTAAAGCTGAACTCTAATTGCTGAGCAATGGTGCAGACATTAGACTCTCAGGCTAGCAGAGAGGGAGATTTGTCTGGACCCACTGGACTTGGGTGATTTTCCCCGGCCTCTCAGCCCCGCAACTGTGGAGTCAGAAACAGATGTTAGGTTCTCAACACAGCTTTTTTCTCACCACAGATCACAGATCAGGGCCAGAAGAACTGGCTATCTCCAGGGCTCTGTTCCTTATCCTCTCACACATAGAATTCACAGATTTGCAAGTGTTACTGGGACCAATATGTTTAAACGGGAAGAATAGATTCAGATGTCAGAATTCCACCCTGCTTTGTAAATGCTTATGAAAACTTACTGAAGCAATTTCGGCCCCCCACTAAGTTAAATAACACAGGGCATAAAGTTCCACCCAATCCCCCCACCCCTTACCCAGAGACAATCACTGTTCACAAGTTTTCACCTGCTTTTTTAACATTTCAAAGATAGCTATCAACTTCCTACTTTAAAAAAGGAAGAAACACCTTTGGCTCTTTAGAATATTTGAAATCTCATGTTGAGTTGAGAGAGGTGAAAATGAGAAGCATTTTAACAGGAACACCTACCTGTTAGTTTTAAGCATATGCAGTTTGGGTACAAAAATAGTAAGATTTGAGACTTTGAATAATTTCTAAAGGTGATTTTGGACACTTGGAAGCCTTCCTGAGAAGGCTCCAGAGACACATCTAACACGCAGGGGAATTTACAAGGAAGAAAAAATTGTCAAGTCAGATTTGTGATTTCTATAGTCAATTAGGAAAATGCCTGAAGTGTCTCCACCCTTTACAGGTAGAACATTTTTGGCCGGAGTCCCCACACTTCACTCTTCACCTGTGTGACACTTTTCTTTCAAAGATGTTTTATGAACCCTCTAGTTGATCAGAAATGACTCTCCTTCCTTTATTTGCTTAGCAAACTGCAGATCAGTTTATAATGGAGAAGCCAGACACTGGAGTGATCCTTCAGTTGTCTTATTTAATCCTCCCACCCCCCAAGCTCAGGGAGGCAGGCACTGAATTTCCAGCTTGCAACAAGGGAAAGTGAGGTTTTCTTTCATCTCACAAAAAGACTTGTGGTAACTTCTCATCTGGAACCAGGTCTGCCTGACTCCAAAGCTGAGGTTCTTTTCTAACGCTGCTTCCATGAGAGCTCACAAGTAGCTGAAAATAACCCACGCTGATATTTAGCTTACATGCCACCCCCAAATTGTACAATAAACCAATAGCTTCCTCTATGTTTTACGGTTGATCCGAACTTCCTCGTAAACCTCCAGCTCCCTGGGTTTTGCCTGCCTCCTGCTACTGGAATAAGGCTGGCAAATCCAGGGTCTGTCCCTTCCACCCCTGCCGTCCCTGGTGCCCTGGGTTCTCACGGATGCTGTGCATCCTCCAACTGTCCCCTCCCCTTGGGTGTGGGCTGCCTACCCGTAGCCATGGCTGGTGGGCAACCCTGCCTCACCATGGTGGCCAACGGCGGGCCCGGGCTCCTCCATGGAAGTCATGCTGGAAGGTCACCTTTTCCACACCACCAAGGCACCTGGGGAGACTTGCAGGCACTGTCTTCTTTTATCCTGTGGCCACTCATGTTGGTACTGGCATCCTTGGGAAGCCACCATCTGATGGGAATAGTCCCTTGGCTGCCTTCCTGTCTCTGTCTCTCTGTGTCTCTGCAGCTCCTGGCCCTTTGCCCCCATCACCTCACCCCTACCCTGTGATTTCAGCCTGGAGTGGGGGACCCAGGACCCCCGTCTGCGATTTCCATCTTCCTCCCTCCCCTACACTCTAGCGTCACAGGTTCCAGGCTCTAACCAGAGCTCTGCCACGTTTTAGCTTGTGTGACCCTGGACAAATTGCTCAACTTTTCTGTTTCTCAGTTTTTCTCTTTCTCAGGAAAGGAGTAGCTGAAGCTGGAGAGAAACGTCCTTTTGATGAGAGGGTAATGTGAAAGTGTGCTATATGAAAACAATTGTTCGATTAGGTGGCCCATTGCCAGGAGAGGGGTGCATCGCTTTCCTTCCCTTTGTCAACAGCATCCTGTTTCCAAAAAATACCTTCCTCCTGTGTTCAAGGATGTAGGATGCTTCTTTAACGCGGAACAATGGTTGCCTTTTGTTGTATTTCACGGCAAATTTAAAAAAAGCACACTGAAATTCAGGTCTAAATGACTAACAGCAGGCCCTTGTATAAATGTGAAGTTTGACCAAGAGGGTTGAGGGCCGGGACAGCAATTGCCAGAGACTTGGGCAGCGGGGGCGAAGACGAATGCCAAGGTTGGCCACTTCTGCCAGCGCTTAGAGTTGGGGAACCGCAGGCAGAGCTGGATGGGCCCTGTTTGCCGGCGTCTGTTCTGTGCTTTGCAGGTTTGGCAGCAGGCTTCCCAGAAGAGAGGTGTCTCCTTTCCAGATCCTCACCCCCCACCTCCAGCACCACCAGGACAGGGTGGATGAGCAAGGTGCAGCTGGAGCTCTGCCGTCCTGGGGTAAACTTCAATCCCGTTGTTGCAGACACAGCATGGGCAGGGCTACGGGGACCTTGAAGGCTCTGGGTTCGGTTTGTCTGAGAAGAGATGTGCCAAAGGTCACAGGGTGGAGAGATGTTCTGCTTTCTGGGTCTTTCTACTAAGTTCCTAAAACCTGAAAATCTTCTTTTAAAGTGTTCCGTTGCACTTTCTCTTCATATGTACTTTCCGTTTTAAAAAAATTACTAGGGGCAGCTGTAATATACTGACAACAGTTTCCTACCAAATGCCCGTTTTTTCTGCTGCTCGGAATTAACAGTGAAAATCTTGCCATAATTTCCAACTTCTTTGTAAATGACTCCTCTACTGAAATGCAGTAGTGAGCGGATCTCCATCTTTTCCGAGGCACCCAGTACGGTAAGGGAGACAATTTGTGAGCACGCAGAGTCACAAACACATTCGGTTTGCAAGCAGAGAAGGATTCCCAGCAAAGTAGGGCAGGACACCTCCCATGATGCTGCATGTGGGGGCTGCCCAAGCATCCCCCTTCCCACAGAAGCGAGGAGCCCCCTCCGGCCATCAGCCCTCTGTGCTGGGGTGTGGACACCTACATTCTTGTGGGCACTCACACAACTGCCCCCTTTCCTCTGAACTCCCGTAGCAATCCGTATCCATCTGGATAATGCTTTCGTAGTTTCTAGAAAACGACCTCACAATTACCTTGGGTCATTAGTTGCTATTTCTCACATTTTAACTACATGGTACCTAATAGAGGGTTCAATAAACATTTGTTGACTTGATCTCTTAAAAAGAGTGACTTGTGTTTGGGCCCTAAATTCCCCACCAGCAGTTAAGGGCTTCTGCCTTCAGCATTCACTGCTCAAAGGTCAGCAGGGCTAAGAGCCTTTGCTCACTATCAGATCCCTCCTGGCTACCACACGCTGCCTCTATCCAGCAGATGCTGTTTTATAGACTTTCAAGCCCGGCTGTGATGCCAGGGAAGAAAGTTTCTCATTCATCCTTGTTTCTCCCCACAGTTGGTGCTGAGTTAATTCCTTCAGAGTAGCAAACCGAACAAACCTATCAAATCCCTTACTCTCCTTATGAACAGTCAGATCACATCAAACTACAAATGCTTTCTCTCTCAACTTCCACTGATCCTCCTGTTTGGAATCTTTCTGCATTGCTGGGAAGTCAGTCCATTCAACCTGCATGATGCACGTAACTGGGTGGGGCTAGGTTTGCATTGTCTTGTAGAAGATTCCTTATGAATCATCAGTAAAAGTGGCTACAATTAGGGCACCTGGCTGGCTCAGTCCGTTGGGCGTCTGCCTTTGTAACAGGTCATGATCCCAGGGTCCTGAATTGAGTCCCACATGGGCTCCCTGCTCCATGGGGAGTCTGCTGCTCCCTCTGCCCCTCTTGCCACTCGTTCTCTCAAATAAATTTTTTTTTTTTAAAAGTTGCTACAATTACGGAAAGATAATCCTTCAGATACCTGTTCTTACAGGACAATGAACTATTAGAAGTGGAAAAACTAACCACTGGAAAATAACATATTTTTTTAAATTCTAAAATGTCACTGATTTTAGGATAACCTTAGTTTTGCAAAAAAACCTAGTTTTAGTATCTGAAGAATAAATGATAATCATGAAATTAAACACACATTAAAATTAAACACCCATGAAATTAAACACACATTTCAGAAATGAAGTGTGAAAAATATAGCCTCTTGGAATTGAGGTAACATGACTAATGAGCAAATAAAATTAAGAAATAGAACACCCTTCCTATGAAATCATCATGTGAACCTTGTTTCACCAAGCTCTGTGATGCTATGTAAAACCACTCTGGGGCATATAGGTGAGCAGCCCAGGTGGTCCAAGTGCAAGGAAAGCTAGCACGATGGTGGCTAGCTGCCGCATACAATCAGGCAATTTTTACGAAGTGCTCACGGAAAGGTCTTATTTTCAAAAACTGTTCAACTTGTATGCTCATCTGTGAGCATGAATGTCAGTTTGGCCCTGCTAGAAAATCTCAATTCTCTATTTCTAGGATCCAGTGAGGTTGCACTATCCCCCACCAACTATGAGACTCTGGCCCCTTAGGATAGCAAGCCATGAGTGAGGCCGAATCAAACACTAAGGCAGACAGGAAGAGACTGTGCAGGACCTGCCCTCATGCTAACTGGCCAGAATGGCCCATATAATCCCTCCTCCCCCATTAATTAATTTCATCTTTGCTTCTGGCACAATATGCTCCTTTTGCAGTTTTCAAGTGTCAATACTGGGGGAACTTTCTCCAGCTTCCTGAACGGCTTCTTTACAAAAGGCCAAGTCTTCAAGACCATAGCTTTATCTTTTCCTGAAAAACGGCTTCCATTTTGACTGCTAGCTAAATTGAGTACATTTAGGGAGGACTCCATCTTAGTGATTAACACTGACCTTCAAAACATCCTTTGATTCGTGGCTAGAGGTGATCTCAGCAACTGAGAAAAGGAGTTTCTGGTACTATATATAAGAAATAGGATCTGGGGGGGCGCCTGGGTGGCTCAGTTGGTTAAGCGACTGCCTTCAGCTCAGGTCATGATCCTGGAGTCCCGGGATCGAGTCCCGCATCGGGCTCCCTGCTCGGCGGGGAGTCTGCTTCTCCCTCTCCCGCTCCTCCGTCTTGTGCTCTTTCTCTCTCTCACTCTCTCTCTCAAATAAATAAATAAAATCTTTAAAAAAAAAAAAAAAATAAAAAAAAAAAAAAAAGAAATAGGATCTGGGGAAGTCAAACATGATTACCATGTTTCTTGATTACCATGATTTCTTGTTACATGATTCTTCAGATACTAAGGTCAATCCCCCCCCCTTTTTTTTTCAGATTTTGAGATAGTGAGAGAGAGCACAAGAGTGGGGTGAGGGGCAGAGAAAGAAGCAGACTTCCCACTGAGCAGGGAGTCAGATGCAGGGCTCGATCCCGGGATCCGGCATCATGACTTGAGCCGAAGGCAGATGATTAACTGATTGAGCCTCGCAGGCGCCCCTTTTGATAAACACTAAAATTTTAATGCTCTAAGTATTTTTAGCAAAATCTCAACCTATTTAATTTGTACAGTGCTTTTGATCCTCAAAGAGGATTTCAGCCCTGTGGCATCCGTCGAACTTTCTAAGTGTAACTGGTTAAGACATTCAACTCTGCCACTTCTTCCCAGCCGTATGACCTTGTGCAAATAAGTATCAAACTTGGGGGCTTCAGCTTAGTCCTTGGCAAAATGGGGATTACCAGTACCTAGCTCAAAGTAATGTTACGGCTTATGCAAAGGACTTAGCACACAATATGCAAATAATTGAATCATTAGCAATTAACAGGGTATCTGGACCCTCCTACCGTACTGGAATGACACAAATCTCAGGTGTCTTTCAGTTTCAAGTACTTTAACATGGAAACACACCCTCTCTCCAGATGAACAATTTTAAGGGAAACGTGCCTTTCTTTCCACATCCTAACATTTTAAAGTGCACAGAACACATTCAAGGGTTCAGGGTCCTAGCACAGAACACATAACGTGTTGCGAGCAGGAAACTAGGCTTCAAGGGAACTGGCATTTCTTGCCATCCTTCCCTGCTCTCTGACCCTTCCTCCATCATACTCCGGCCGTGGGAAACACCCTCACTGCCCTTACTCTGTGCTGTAACTCTTGTTTAGTCTTGGAAGGCTTCCTGCTGGCACACCTTGGAAACTCACTGCTGTGCTCTTACGACACTTGCCCTAAAGGACCCTGGTTGTGTCCCCTGGGTTTAGGTAGTAGCATGATGCTTGCCACACTCGTTTTCTGACTGAATGTTCACGACAGCGTTCTAAGCAAACCAAAAGGGCCTTTATTTTTTGTGTGATCATTTTTAAATACATATCTCAGTTATCCTGTAAAGCTTCAGGTGATGTTTTAGAAAAATGAGAAGTAGGTATTTTTCTTTTTTGCCTAAAGCCTATCCATGTGTGCGGGTCTTCACTCTTCCCTGTGAATGATATGAAGGAAAACCCTCGGTGGCATGGCATGTTAACGGAGCCTGGGAACCAGGGATTTTTTTCATTATGACTTTACATCTGTTTTATTATTTTATAAGTATTCACATTTTATGTAACTCACTTTTTATACCAAAGTCTTCATTGTCTTAGCAAAGTCAGAAAAAGTGATGTAATAAAGTACCAAGTCATTTAAATTAAAAAGAAAAAAAAACCCACCTTGTTTTTCTAAGTAAGCTTTTGCCTGATACCCACTGTCGAAATTCTATCATTTTGTTTTGTGTGATACCGTCCAAACATAGGGATATAAATTTTGGGTTCTAAAATGACTGAAGACAACAGGACCTTCAAGATCACATTGACACTGTAGAGACTAAAGTGGAGAAGGGAGAAAATAGAAGTCTGGCACTGAGATTTTTCTTAGGACAACTCCCCGTACTGCCCACCCCCCGAAACCAGCAAGAGCAGCTAAAACTTACATATTACTAAATGCCCACACATTTCACTCCAACCCTATGAGGTTGGTTCTGTTACCATCTTCATTTTATAGATAAAAAAAATGGGCACAGAGAGGTTAATTTGCCCAAGATCACATAAATAAGTGGAAGAGGCGGGGCTCAAATAAAGGCAGTCTGGCTGTAAGTACCATGGTCATAATCACACTGTATTTTACCTACTAGGTCAGGAAGAGAAAATAAATGAAACAAATCCTCTATTCAAATAGTATGCGTAAGGTTCAGCTGGAAAAATTACAGACCAATCACCATCTGGCTGGAACCTTTATTATTTCAGAAATAAGCATCCCATATGTAATCTGAGGTGGTTAGAATAATTACTTCTGGATACTGTAATAAATATGTCAAAAATACCAATCATTTCAATAATCATACACACTTCATTCATTAAGAACCTCCAAAAATAACTCTTCTGTATCAAAACACTAATGTCACAAGAGAGTCAAGTAATAGTCTATGCAGGAGAGAAGAAAAAGTCTGCTGGGGGAACTCTAATGAAGCATTTTGCCTATTACAGTTTTGCCTGACATAGTTCATGAAGAAAGACTAGCTATGTCCTCCTTTTTTGTTTAGTGCTTAGCCTGAGAGAACACAAGAAACCAAGTCTTGGGAGAAAAACTGCTTTCATAATCTTAAGTGTGAGTCACAAACAGGCTTTTCTGATAAAAGCTTCAAAGCCTGAAGTGATGGGAAAGGCAAGCATGTATTCTATTCAATATTTCAATAAATATGCACAAAAATTCAGCAATTAGGAACACAGTGTTTGTGTATTTGAAAATTCAAGAGTTTTCATGCTTTGAATGTTTTATCCTGAGAAGAGTTTTAAGGATATTTTGTTCTATAAGGTTCAAAAATAAAACTTAAACATATAACACATATCAGGAAATCTCCATACGATTAACATTCTGGACCATCCTAGCAATGTCAAACAATAAGAAGCCTAACAAAATAACGTGTATGTTGTAAAGATAGCAATGAGAAAGAAAGGAACATCAGGAGAATGAATCACCTATATCTTTGTTTCATGCTCAGTGCTTTTAAGTTCAACAGACGAATGTAAAAACAGCAATTATTTGTTTCCAAAGAGCCAGACCCCTCTCACTGGCTCACCACCAATTACGCAAGTGCTAAGTAGTCAAAGAAAGACTGCAGGTGACCCTTTGCTTCTCTCTGGTCCCTTTACCAAACCTCTACATCACTTATGACATTACTTGTTGATATGATATACAGCAAAACAGTTTGCTAATTTTCACTCAATCAAATACATTTTAAAATAGAATAAATTCTCACAACACAAACTTTAGTTTTCACATTCATTGCAACATTTATGAATTACTCAAACATGAGAACTGGAAATGTGTGTGCTTATGTGGAAGAGAACAACTGAATTTATTCTGCAGAAGATAAAGGAGACCTGAAGCATCACATCACAGGAACAACTGAAACATGATGACAAGTCTTATCTTCTAAACTTCAATGAAAGCTGCTTGTACAAACTATTTAATGAACACCTGTCCCTATTAAACAAGCAAGATATCTGATGTATTAAAGAAGTCAGAAGCTGAGGCTCTTCATTTCTTTCTGTTGCTTCCAGTTGCTAGAATACTGGCAACTCGCATAAATATATTTAAGGTATCCATGTAGATTCCCAGCATCCTGGAAAAGAAAATTATGGCCTGTTATAGATGATGTAATTCTAATAACAATGATAAAAACTATTTCTTAATCTAGAAAAGAGAAAGCAATACTGATTTATTTGTCATAGGTCTATGAAATGGAAATTAAAAAAAGAAAAGATGCCAACACTAAGGAAGCCCTAGACTAGACAACAGTCAAGATTTTCTTCTGGCAGATTCATCTTCGAAATGTTAAAGGGCAATTTAAAAAATCATTATTCTATCCTCTGACACGCTCTTATGAGTGTAGTATCTTGCAAAAAAAAAAACAACCCTGGGTGATAGGCAATGAAATAATCAGGAAAAAACCAAAGAAACACCTTCACAAAAATGTGTTAGACACAAGTCTGACATTTTTAAATATAATACATCTCCTCAAGGCAACACCCCCTCCACCGCCAACCAACGAAAACTGTCACAAATCTGTGTTACGGCAGCATTTTAAAAAAACCATTACACTGAATTTCAGTTTCAAGGAAAAAAAAGATTACTTTAAAAAATGTGACAGACAACATGAAACTCAAAAAAGTTGTTTAGATAAAACAAGCCACTTTGGTGGAGAGTCCAAGAAAAGGGAAAAGCATTATTATATAACAGATGCACCATAAAGCTAATCAACAAAAATAGGCAAATAGTGATTTAATTGAATACCTAAATACTACACTTAGTTACGATCTAATCAAATGTTCTGTGGATACATAGCTTACTAAAGAGATAAAACAGATCAAACAGTAACAGAAATAAAATAGTACAATTCGACAAACCCATTGTGGTTATGTGATATGGTGACATCCTAATCCTTGTACCTGTAAATGTGACCTTATTTCAAAATAGGGTCTCTGCAAATGTAATTAAGATGTGAGTTAAGATGAGGTTAATACTGGAGTAGCGTCGGCCTCAATCCAAAATGACTGGAGACAGAGACAGACACATAGGACGAATGCTGTGAAGACAGAGGTAGAGATTGGGGTAATGTGTCTACAAGCCAAGGAATGCCAAGGACTGCTGGCCAAAACAAGCAGCTAGAAGAGAAGCATGGAGCAGATTCTCTTAGAGCCCTCGGAAGGTATCAACCCTGATGACACCTTGATTTCAGACTTCTGGACTCCAGAACTTCAAGAGTATAAATTTCCATTGTTTAAACCATTCAGTTTGTAGTCTGTTACAGTAGCCCTAGGAAACTAATATAGCCATAAAATAAAATAGACCATAATAACACAAATGTCCTATTAACAAAGGAAAGACATTAAGACTACTTACGAATTGATGGGATCATATTTTTGAACTCCATACGCTGGTATTATTTCTGCACGCTTGATTACTTTCTGCGTATCATACAGAAGAAACATGCTGAAAACAACTAATCCACCATAAATTGCCACTGAGTACAAAGTGGCACCAGCCACAGTGGTAGGTGGAAGAAACATAGATCCTGGAAGGAAAAAAGACGAACTCCTCTATAATTGGATTTATGATTAACATTACTCAAAAAACAAAACAAAACAAAACAACCCTTCTTTTGGTGTACTGCACAGGTAAGAAAAGGACTGACTATATGCACTGTGTAATTTTATGCACATTCAGTTGCAAACCCATTATACTCACTCCTGCAATGGGTCACTTGCTCACATTACAGAAAGGCTCTTGCATCAAGAGCAATTTTCATGTTCTCTAGACCAACTTTTCCATTTTAGATATATTTGGTAAGACCAAAAATCACAGTTTACCATGATGCCAAATAAGAAAATACACTCTAATTAGTGTTTACCTTTTAAACTTTCAAAAGTGACTCTTAATGAAGTTCCCTCCTTTAGGTAACTAAGCACATCAATGATTTTAGGAAACCAAGAAGCAAGTATCAAAACCCAGCCGCTTACCCAGTGAGGATACAAAGACGAGACCCAGGCCCACTCCCAGGGGTGCCCCCATGTTCAGGAACTTCTCACTGGGCGCGCACATGGCCACGGCGGAGAGGCCGCCCACGATGCCCGCTGTGTACCACGCGGCTCTGACGAGAAGAGGCCCCCCTAGCATCGTCAGTGGAGCCACCACTGCGCCCAGCACACCTGGAGAAAGAGCAAGCAGGGAAGCAGAGCCTAAATGACAACCAAAAAGAAAATGCCACTTCTAGTAACAGGCCATCTGAACATCGCATACCTGACCGTTCAACGACAGGACTACCAAGTCTCTCCCGTATGTAGGTAATACTACCCCTGAATTCCACAACCCAAACTTGCGGCTAGCCAAACTCGAAATCACAACAACACTATTCTTAAACTGTCTCAACTCAGAGTACAAACACTAATCTAGATGTTTGAGTAACTTTATCAAATTTTATGTACTTCATTATCTGGATATGAGCCTACTGGTATATTCTTTGCAACAACAATGCTATATATAAGAATTGAGATTAAAAGGCTTGAAATGAGTAACTCAAGGTCAAACCTGTTGCTGCCAAGAGGGAACAAGGTAAACGAGAGAATGCTATAGGATGCTAATCCTAAGGAACTTCAAGGACAGGCACTGCTGTTTCCTTGTGGATAGGGAATGTCATCTCAGCTTGTGAACCGTAATTTTAGTTGTCAGGTATTCATAAACAAGTTCAGAAAAATTACTGTGAAAGCTATCAATAATTTAATTAGCAAACAAACTCCTTAATTCAAAAAATAAATCTTAGATAAGGCATTATTTCAGTGGTGAGTAGAGTTAAGTTATCCTCTTATTAAAACATTAAATGTCCGTAGTTTAACTCATGGAATAGGCACAGCTATGGCCATACTGTAATTTCAACACCAGTGTCTCTTTCGTGAAGAGTAACATTTCTAGATCAAGTAGAAAGATGTATCTCATGATAATGAACAATTAAAAATATCTTTTGCTGTAAGAAAGACACTGGATAAAAATTCCTCTAGCAATCTTTACATTTCTATTAGGATTCCCATCAGTTTTACAACTGACAGCAAAATTTTTAGCAAAAAAAAAAAAAAAAATCTATTTTTTTTTGCAGAAGCCAAGAAAAACCTTTACTCTCCAGCAGGCTCCCAACTTTACTCACCACAGGTAACTCCTTGTCCTGAAATTTGCATTAAGCCACAGACAGAGGATCAAAGAGTGTCCTTCCTCCTCCCTTCCCTATACTGATGTGCCAGCTCATTGCTCCAGGTTCTCCTGACCCCATAAGCCACCAATGGCCGGGGACAGGACGTAGAGCTGGTACCAGGGAGGAAGGACGAGCGAGGCCTTGCCTCCCTCATGGCCTTTTCATAGCATCTCCGCCACCCCCACCCCGTGGCACCTGGGCCTCCCCTGGCTCTCCAGGGTCTGGCCTGGTGGTCCTGTTTTCCATGACCTGTCCCTCCAGTGGTCCTCTCCTGTGTAGGCTGACCCTGTCAAAGACAGTTTCCCAGGTGGCCTTGACAGTCATGGTACAATCCTCTGGTTTTTCCGTTCTTCATGGCTAGGTTTATTGGAGATTCTATCTCTGGAGCTTTTATCACTGGGGGTCTGGCCCTTGGGTGGCTTAGTCTTCCAAAGATCCTGGCTACCATGCTCTCCCAGGTCTCATCCCAGATGCCACAGTCCTCTGAGAGGTCCAACATTCGTGGACTAGCTCTTTGGCAATCAGGCTCTGTGTGTTCTGGCCCTCTGAGAGACTTGTCCTCACAGAATGTGGGCACCTGAGTCCTGGCCTTTTCACAACAGTAGCCCCTAAGTTTGAGGCCTCTCTGGAGGGGGTGGGGAGGGTGGGGGTGGGGGTCTGGTCCTCCAGGACTTTCTCATCAGCTACGGGCAGATCCCTCCAAAGGTCTGTTCTCCAACATCTGGCTCTTTGGTGAGCCTGTCTGTTCTCTAAGGCCAGGTTTTCTGATGGTGTGGGAAGCTGTAGTCCAGCCTTCCTGTAGCTTTAGCAAAACTTTTAAGGAGATTGTCAGAGATTTTTCAATGATATTTTTTCATAAAAATCTTAAATGGTAATAGATGTTTGCTGCTTAAGGACATAGCAATTACAAAACTAACAAGGATAGCTCAACATTATATTGTGAATCAAACTGGCATTCATCCAACTGGCACAGCCACTATGGAAAAGTATGGACGTTCCTCAAAAAATTAAAACTATAACTACCATATGATTCAACAATCCCACTTCTGAGTTTATAATCAAAAGAACTGAAATCAGGATCTCATAGAGATGACTGTGCTCCCAGCAGCATTGCTCACAATCTCCAAGATGCAAAAACCAAATTGTCCTTCAATGGATGAATGGGTAAAGATGATGTGGTGTATAAACAAAATGGAGTAACACTCAGCTATAAAAAAGAATGAAATCTTGCCATTTTTGACAACATGAATGGACCCCGAGGGCATTATGCTAAGTGAAATATGAGAAAGACAAGTATCATATGATCTCAATTATATTAGGAATCTAAAAAAGTCAAACTCAGAGAAACAGTAGAGTGGGGGTTACCAGGGGTAGAGGTGTGGGGGAAATGAGGAGATATTGGTCAAAGTGTATAAATTTCCAGTTATAAGATGAATAAATTTGAAGACCTAATGTACAGCATGGTGATTACAGCTAATCCTGCATCATATACTTGAATGTTGCTAACAGAATAGATTTTAAATGTTCTCACCACAAAAAAATGGTAAATATGGAAGTGTTAGCTAATGCTATGGTGGTAATCATTTTGCAATATATAAATGTATCAAATCAACCAGTTACACATCTTGAAATTTATATGATGTTATGTGTCAATTATATCCTAATAAAGCTGGGGAGAAAACACAATTAGAATAGTTTTCCAACGATCATTTCAGTAATTCCTGCACACTTAGTCCTAAGACCACAGCTGTGTCGACACAGTGCTAAACATTTGGATGAAAAATGAAAATGGAATGCACTGGGATGTTAATACTGGTCAAAAGTTAACTCTGATGTCCCTTTAATACTGTGAGGGAATGCCCTTTGGTCATCCAAACCCCCTTCAGGTCTCATCTCAATCATACCAGTGAAAGAAAAGAGTGGACAGAGGGCTGGACTTGAAGAAATAAGGGTGTTCAGTTTTGACTGTGGCACCTGCCAGTGTGACCTCACACAGCCTCCACTTCCTCATCCATGAAATGGAAATGCTAATGCCTGCCTGCAGAGCTTCTCAAGATACAGATGAAATGTAAAGCAAAAACTGGCATTCATGCTGTACAGGGAAGGGTTACCAGAACAGGCCTAAGGTCATCTTTACAAAGACTTGCTTGCAGGGCTGGTCCTTGGCTACTTAAGAACTTGGCAGATGAAGCATTCTGTAACTGGGAGGGTTAGAATGCTTGTGAAAACAATGTGAGTTATGCTGAAAGCCTGCTTTCCTTCTGGAAATCTGTATTTTGGTAGTTGCTATGAAGGTGCTTACATGATCAGTCCTTAATAAAAACCCTCAGGCACCAAGTCTCTAATGGGCTTCTATCTCACTGCTCTTTTCACTTCCTGGATAAGTCCCCTCAAAGAAAGGAGGGAGCACTGAAGGCCCATGGATGAATTTCTCCAGACTCTGCCTATATTTTTTTCCCTTGCAGACGCTATCATGTGTCCTTTTATTGTAACAAACCTTAGCTCTGAGTACAACTATATGCCGAGTCCTAGGACTCCTACAAAAACACTAAATGAATGAATGGTTGGTCTTGGGGACCCCCTCCAACACATAAAATACTTTGACCCAAGTAATTTATATACTGTAATAATACCAGATTAAGTTTTCTAAGCAACCCAAATAGCCCTTATTCTAAACTCAAACTACATAGCTATTTTAATTTAATTCAGTAAGTCACTAAGTATCTACTGTTTATCAGAGATAAAAACACTGAACCTGTTTTCTCAAGGAACTCAGTGTCTAAAATGGGAAACAGGTGCAGAACTCCATTCTCTGGGTAAGATACTAATGCTAAACTCAGATGGTGAGGTTTTTGGTGTTTTAATGCAAGGGTACATACTCAAGAGAAAAAAAAAAGTTCTGTATACTACTATGGTATGTACTTGTTCTAAAGCAGAATAATCCTTAAATAGATGGCACTCAGAGATATTACATTTTATAGAAGTACACGTTGTATCTTGAATAATTTTTTTCTTAAAAGCAGGTTATTGGTACTGGAAGATAATGGACCACCTCCCTCAATCACAAGGATTTTATCCTGTAAAGCCCCACGGAGAATATCTATGGTTGAATAACCTCACACCTAACAGAAGAGACTTGATAACCAAGGTTGTCAAGTTATGCTGTCTCATATTTACCAAAACAAAGATAGCACATAAAGAATGTAAATGACATAGTTCATACCAGAAATTTGTTATACTGGATGCCAAATACCTAATTTCCATTTACTAACCTATGTTAGAAACACTTCACAGTCTGTTTCCCTAGAAGTTTCAGGGAAATGCTTACAAAATTTGTCTTGTTTTATTTAAGTAAATAAACGAATAAAAAGCAGAAACAGACCCGTAAAGACAGAGAACTGATGGTTGCCAGAGGGGAGGTAGCGGGGTGTACAAAATGGGTGAAGGGGAGCGGGAGATACAGGCTTTCAGTTACGGAATGAAGTCACAAGAGTAAAAGGCACAACACAGGGCACACAGTCAGTGATACTGTAATAGTGCTGTATGGTGACAGATGGTAGCTACACTTGTGGGGAGTATAGCAAAACGTATAGGGAAGCTGAACCACTATGTTGTACACCGGCAACTACTATAACATTGTGTCAACTATACTCAAAAAACAAATTAGAAAAAATAAAATGTCTTGTTTTGTGGTAGAGAACATGTATCTAAGTACTTTTGTTTCTGGGTCTAGCTGGCTCTTTGTTCAACCCACAGACAGAGACTATCCCGGGATACCTGAGATGGAAAACACTTTATCTAAAGTATTTGTGTCTCCAAAATTAAGGGGTGGTATCACAACATGTACCTATAAAAGGATATTACAACTGTCCTACAATACCACAGGTGGACAGCCTCTGCCCTGCCCACTGGAACTTCGTGCTAAACCTATCTAAATAATGACCCAGCTAACTGTACCAGACACAAATGTACATTTCCAAAGATCTTTTTTACTGTATTTTCTCTTCCAATGCTCTACTGCAAAATCCTCTACTCCTATTTTCTTACTGCATCCTTTTCTTCTCCACCCTCATTTTTAAATTTTTCTAAAAATACACAACAAAAACAATTCTTAAGTAATGTGTATCAGGTTTGAAACCCTCCCAGGAGTAGACAAAATACATAAAGGAAATCTCTACATATACTAGACTGTCACAGGAGGCCAAATGTAATACTGGGGATGTCCATGGTCTTAGTATCAGAATCATTTTTCAGAGTAGAGGTCTGGTAATAAACAACCACATGAGTATGAAAAACTATAAGTGTTTTCTAAACATAAGGTTTTATTAAATTATGCACAAGTCATTTACAATTGTGAAGAGCCACCAAAAAAAAAAAAATAGTAATGAAGTTGTTAAACAAAAATTTAAAATTAGAACATACCAGAATGTAGTAACCAAGCAACATGCTTTGGGACTGGGCTCTGGTCATATGGTATTGATCGTACCATCATTCCAGCTCCAATCATGGCTGCAAAGGTTGCACCAATTGTCTGAAAGACACATATTACTGAGAAAAATCAATCCTTATACAACAACAAAGTAGAGAAGCCCACAAGTTCCAAGTTCAGCTAGTCCCTCCAAAAAAACCTTGTTTAAAAAGATTAAGGAAAATGAACTGATCCTAGTAGGGGGCAAGAGTGCCCCCTACTGTCACACAAAGTTTTGCAGACACCTTCAAGTGAGTTAAGTTGAGCTTTGATACCACCATCTTTTAAAGTTTATTCTTGCTAGACAGAGAATAAACCTCTTTAAGAATCCCAAAATAGGGACGCCTAGGTGGCTCAGTTGGTTAAGCATCTGACTCTTAGTTTCGGCTAAGTTCATGATCTTAGAGTCATGAGATCGAGCCCCACGTCCGGCTCTGAGCTCAGCATAGAGTCTGCTTGGGATTCTCTCTCCCCCTCTGCCCCCACCCCCGGCATCTCCCCCCTCCCCCCAGCTCATGCACACATGCTCCATCACTCTCACGCTCTCTCTCTCAAATAAATCAATCAATCTTGGGGTGCCTGTGTGGCTCAGTT